TTGTCACATAAATTTATACGTGAATTTCGCATAAATTTTTAATATTGCTATAAAGCAAGGCAAGTCGTAAACACTATGTTGGATTTCTGAAAAATTCATTATTAAAGCGTAGAACGTAAGTGTAACTTTACCATTATTCTGTGAGTAAGATGTAAAATAAGTTTAGTTCAGTTCTTTCAGCATTGAGCTCAACTCGTACTTCTGTGTGCTTTAGAAAAGTGCAGAGTTTTTAGTCAGCTTTCGAAAGTTCAGATTTCAAAGGGGACGTTTTAGGAAAATTGACCTGAGCTGTACAGACATGCAGTTTGAGGAAAGTTGCTTCACAATGAAAACATGAAAGATATTGTACAGTTTTATTCTCTCTTCTTTTTATCTTTGACTTCTTTACGCGCTACCAAACGTACACTTTGCACACTTTTTACCCTAGCAAGCTGTTGGAAGGATTAATTTCAAATTTTACACAGATTTTACACAATTCGTTCGTTTGCAATCATTGAACACAATTACTTTCTGACACAAAAATGATCGACGACCTAAACAAATTGTTTTACGAAAACAATTGAGGTTCAAAACTTTTTGGTCACTTTTTCACTCTTTTTAGGGATTTTTAGGGTTGAAAACCCTTTAAGTGATCAATTTTTTCAAAGAAGTCCGTTTTCTTCTCCACTGTACGAAGTTTTTAAACATTCTACCTCTTGATATGCAGGTGCATATTATTCCAAGAGTATCGAAAAAGCTGTCGTAGACAATTAATTAGTTTGAAAGTGATCATGGAGGAGGAACTACTTCGAGGAAACTTTAGCCACTAGAATCTTTACTTTCGTTAAAAGCCATCTTAGGAAAGCTAACAATTATCGCGTAGCTCGTGTAATATACCATGAATAATCCAAGAATTACACAGTGTTTTATCGCGATACGTGTTAAAAAAAGTACAGGCAACTCTGGGCTTGTCAAGAGGAACGCACTTCATCGAACGTTCACGCACCGTAGATATCAAAGAAACTATTATAGATCTGAACATCTCATTGTGTACACAATCAAAGGTGAATCACGTCTACGTAACAAGTAATGATGACTAGCTTCTGGTGATTCGTTGGGTTTTCTTAAATTTTTCCCATTCACGTCAAAATCGTGTGAACTTCTCATTCGCGAGAATCTACTAATGAAAACAGTTTATGTCAACTACTAGGAATAAAATGTTATTTGCAAAAAGTATATCAACGGAGTAACTATAGAACGAGCGTAAGACGAAAATCACGGGAGCGGGAAATTTGAATCGAACGCTCTGTACCAGGACAACTAACATCCTTCTGCTGAGATTTCAACAGAGTTTCTCATTATCGAAGAACGTTTCAGTTCGTTGTTAACGCTTCTCTTTTTCTATTCTTTATAGATCTCCGCGTGAATGACTGTGTTTTTGTAAAAATATCACCCTTCGATAGACTAATTAACACAGAGGAGAGAATTTGATCGAATTGCATCGCTTGAAAAAGAACTACGATACTTTATCTATAAAACAGTGAAAAATAAAACTGTAAAATGCAAATAATCTTTGTAAACTGCATGTTTTCTTTTAACCATTTCAAGCTCCAATCCTCGAGGAAGCCATTTCTGTTTCTTGCAAAATCGACACATGCTCGTAAACTTCGAGCGACAATAAGGGAGAGTTATCCTAAGTTCGAAATGACTGACAAGTATTTAATGTACGAAAGGATGAAATTTACGTGACACGAAAAATTATCGACATCTATCCTTCATATGCCTGACTTAAAAGATAGAAGTATGTACAATTGAGTTCTATGTATTAATTCGTTCGATAAAATTTACTACGATCAGACGTCGTTTTCGAAAATCGTTCGATAAAATGTTGCTCTGTTTATCGCTGGACCGGTAGCCACACGTGAAAATTTCCCGAGAAATCCCATATTTAACGCGGATTCTTTGAAAATCGTGAGAAAAACACGAGTGAAACGCAGACGCCTCTGCGAGTCACTTAAAATTCAGCATCTTTTGCCGGATCCATGGAGAGAAGGTCGTCTCGCAGGAAACAATGCTTTTTTTTCGCCGAAAATAACCTACCTCAAGAATATTTCATCGAGTTCGAGGCTACGCATGCATTTGCACCTGCATCAAGGTCGGCCATTTTCGTTCGATGAACGCAACCTAACCTATTTTACCGTATAATCAAACCGAACGAAAAAAGAACGCGCCGTTGGATTAAAGAACACAAAGGAACAATATTAATCGAGAGATTACGTGTTTACTAATCGTTCGATACTGAAATTCATTGCTTCTGGAGAACCATCGAGAAACGAATCTAGAGTAACGCGAGCGCGATTTATGGGACGAGGTACGTAGCTCTGGGATTCCCCTGGCTCCTAGATTTAAGTCTGATCGAGTGGCGCTCGCGATGGGAAACAATTTAGCACACGACAAGAGATTTTCAGAAAATATCACGGCAAATTTACATTTTCCTGCGATATATATACATAATTGGGATTTGTTTAGCTTGCAATTTGAACATTGACAATACTTCGATGGAATATTTAGAAGGATGATAATTTTCAATTTTTGAGTACTTCAAAATTGAGGAATTTGTTTAATTACAGAATTTTTTTTTTAAATGTGCAGATATTTCAATACTCTACTGTGCTCGAATTTTTATGGAAAATTGCGTTTTAATAATGATCGAAGTACGACGATAACTTGAGAAAACGCGAATGTTGCTAAACTAAAGTAAATTATAATAAAAGTGATTAGTAGCAGTAAATGCGATAGTAATATATTGCATCATAATTGTTTCTATTGGAAAATATGAAAAATGAGTTCACGAGTAAGCAATGACGCCGCATTCCGATATCTACTATGGTGTTTCAAATTAACTTATACGTCACTCACGACGTTCTTTATGTAAGCGACGATGATAGATTTGCACTGGAAATTACCTGAAGGGAATTTTACAGTAACTGCGTTACCTAATCTACGATCGAATCTTTCCAAAGTTGGCACTTTATCAGTCCACTGATTTTTTACCTTTGTACAGCTGGTGATCGAATTATTATGACTATTTCGAAATTACGTATCGTTTGTTCGAGGTTTGAAAAAGAATGGAATTGAAAGTATTGACTTGAAACGAAACCTTTTCTATTGCAAAACGTCTAAATTATTCAACATTTTTTTTTAAACGTATATGTACACCTAACACTATTTTGTCACGCCATCCTTCGAATCTATAATTATGAATGAAAGATGACTCAAAATGTGGTCAAATTGCATATTTATAAGTTAAGAAACAAGAACTGTGTATGTCGCTATTGTTGAAGTTATAATATTACCGAAAAAATAAAATATGTAATTTTTTCATCTGACCGCAATAAATTCATCGTGCATTGTAATAAGAATTTCGAATATGACGAAATCTGCAATCGCGTATTCTGATATAAAATCCTCCAACGAGATTGCCAGACGAACATGCGTGTTTTATACGATCGAGAAGATGTTAAGAAGCGTATCTTTTCGCAAGATAAGTGGACGTTGAATCACTGAGCCACCTGTTTTATGAAAGAGCAACGTTACAAAGTCCCTTTCAAGCTTTATCGTTTCCTCTGTTCGTTGACGCGGAGCTTCATTTTCTAGGCAGAACTAACCTACATTCGCGAGGAATCGTTCAAAAATTCAATTTTCCCTCTCTCTAGAGCTTAAACTTCGCGATAGAGGTCTATTATGTTGGCCAAAGGAATGCAGGAATTTTCGCAGAAAATTGGGAAGCCTTCACGTTAATTCCAAATCGACGGTGGATTCAATATTGATACAATCAAACTGTTATCTACTTGTTCATCTATTTTCTCTCGTTTCACTCAAGATTGTGAGTAATTTTCTGCAACAACGATAATCGAACAATTTAATCGCACGACCTATCTAAAAATTCTAAAGGACGATTCAACTATCTGTACTATTCTTACTAATTTTCTTAGAAATAATTGCCTTATCTGTGTTGCACCATACCAAGCTACCTTAAACAAGCTATAAAGTAGATTATGCTCGTCTGCAAATGACTAACAGAAATATTCATTTCTTTCACGAATCTTCGTCCTCCTTCGGAATTTTAACTTCACCTACTTTGCACAGATACACCTTCGACGACAAAATATTCACCGTCAAAGGGTTCACGCTCATGAATAAACTATCGTTACTTCCCTAAACAGACGCTTGTTTTCGTCTCTCACGAGCCCTTACGGAAATCTCCAGAAAGCAGACTTGAAACGGGATCATCCTGGCGATCGTCGATCGGGACCTTGAACTCGTGAATCTTCTGTACTCGTCATCTCCAATCACAAGCGCATCGTGGATCCGCCGAAAAATTCGAGCAGAGTTCACTATGTCACGTGAGTGCATCGTGATCGAGCGAGACGAGCCTTCCAGGCCGCGGGGATTCGTGGATCGCGAAACATCGGAAAGGTGCCTAACCGGCGGAAACTCTGTCGATTATCTCTTCTATTCTCCCTCCCCCTCTCTTGCTGTTCGCCTATACGGGGACAGTGGACGAGGATGGAAAGGTGGAATTCAGGGAAAAGGGTCGAAGTCTAGGTAAAGAAATAAAAGTGAGGGAGGATCTGGTACGAGTGGGGAATGAGCCACGAGCTGAGTGGGGAGGTGGAGGCGGAACTCTCCTTCGAGTATATATGCTCGAAGCGAACGAAGCTACGCTACAGTTCACCAAGAGACAAAAGCGACAAGGAATAGGGACAGACACCTATAGGGAAAACGTGATCACTGTAGGATCATCGAGCAATACGCGAAGCAACGAACGGTTTCCAACAGATCTGTCGGTTTTTGTGAACCTGTTCGAGAAAGTGAGAAAGTGTATCCATTGAACGAGAAGGAAGAAGAAGATCGTGCTGTTTTTCTTTTTGGGATTTATTCGAGGAATCTCCATTGGTTCGGGACTGTTTTGTTCCCGTTTTAATTTCACCCTCGTCAAGGAGATACGAAGTTTCGTTATGGCAGTAAGAAGCAGCCTATTCGCTACGTTGTTGGTGGTTTGTGTTTTGATCGTGGTCCTGATGCCAGCAAACAGCTACGCCAGGCCACCCCCTTTGCTTAGGTAAGAATGATAGTTCTGTAGTGTGGAAAGCTTGTTGTCCGTGGTCCTTTCTTTTTGCATCTTGAGACAGAGAGGCGTGGCTGAGGAATTTTTCACGAATTTCTAATTCAACGTGGAAATTTGCGAAGGTTGCTCTTTAGTCTTTGCTGAGAAGTATTGGAAAATTCTGTAGAGAAATTTTTTGGAAGATTTTAAAAGATGTTGAGAGAAAAATTGTTCTACTTGCTGTAACGCTGAATAACACTAAAATTATTTGGTGCAAAGTAATTTTTAGACTCGTATAAGATTGAAAAGAAAACGTGAAAGTTCCTCGATAACAACGAGAACCTCCCTCAACTTGTTGCACATCCACGTGAAACCACAGAAAACTTGCACTTTTCACACACTCCAAAGTACGCGATTTTTCTAACTAACCCTTGAAAAAAATCGAAAGAAACGATTTTCTCGCGGTTCCGTCGAAAATTTTCCTCTACATGTCGAAGGAAAATCCCACTGGAACGTCACACTAGTGAACCTTTCGACTCTCGATCATGATCACTATCTGACCGATTAATTTTATCGAATTATTTTCGACCGGTCGCGACAATTTTTAGCCGTATCTCGATGTCTATCCCCGTAAAATCGCGTTACACATCGGAGTCACTCGACGAGAGCCACGACAAAAGAGGGATGAATCGATGGATTTCGATTAAGGCCGTGTTCCTTTATTTTTTCCCTCTTCCTCTTTTTTCTTCCTTTCTGCCCCATGGATGCTGATAACGCGACGTGCAGATAGCCGGAGCTTTGTTGCACACGCGGGAGATTAGCATGTCGATTAAAGGAGACGAAATTGACGACGATCGGCAAACACGGTATTATATCCATCGTGCATCCTCCAATATCACCGGCGTCGCGCCTTTTTTCTTTCGCCCGCCAATATGAATTCGCGCGGGATTTAACTATCGGCGGAATCACTCGAAAGGGTTGGAATTAAAGGGAAACAAGAGATAACGGGGATCAAGGAAATATGTTTCGACTCGGTGAAATTACTTTTGTTATCTCGTTATGGAATAAGTGTGATAAAGCTGGGGACAATTTTCAAAAATTTTCGTTTCCATACCGAGATTCTTAAATGAAAATTATCGACTAATTCCTGGTAATATACATTTCTCATTTCTTTATGGAAAGTGTTTAATAAAGCTGAGAGAATTTTTGAAAGATTTTGAAAAAATACTTGTTACTTTCCATACTTTGTCCTGGAAATGCCAAAAATCTAGTAAAGTCTCTAAAAGAATACTTCAATTTTCGCATGCAAATTATTTTTAAACTCTCGAAAATCTGCATACTCGAATTTCTAAGTATCGATCACTTTTAATATTTCTTTAAAAGAAAATGTAACTTAAAGTTAATGTAACTTGCAAAAATTTCTCTCGTACCACTCTCACTTCTAAAAATCCATACCAAATTCGAATAAAAAAAAAGTTCCAAAACAAAAAGCTCCGATCTCTAAAACTCCAGATTTCACCAATCACCTTAACCTCATCGATCGCTAATCAAGTCACGCGCGAGGCTACGCGAGAAGGTAAACTCGGCCGTCGTCGAACGCGATGAAACATTGATGACAGAAAAGAAGCGGGAAAAACGAGGATAAAGCGTTCCAGCAGCCTCCAAAGGGGACGCAAGAGCGTCTCGTGAATGTTGAAGTCGCAACAGGTTGCAAATTCGCGAAGAAACGATCGCTAAGGGACAACGACCGGCGTGGCAATTAGCCACGGTTTTTCCTTAAGCATGTCTCGCGGGAATGATTTGCGACATCGATTTCACGGCTCGACTCGTGAAAGTTCGTTCACTGATGTAATTACGCCATGCTGCGAGTCATCGTTTGCCTCGGTAATACACCGTTGCAATAATCTTCTCGCTTCGTCTCTCTACATCTCTTTTCAGACGATTCACTCTCGCGGCTCGATATTACCGCTCGTAGAAAATTTATCGTAATGTAACCGAGATTTATCGTGTCATCGATATCTATGCCGAGATACGAGGCCACCTTGTTCCCGTTTATTTCACACTTTGCACAATTCGAGAGTTCTTCTAGAAAACACTGTAAGCGCCAAATTTGAAGAATTTTGATTTTCGTCGTTCACAGTGTTTCCTGTAAGTAGTTCTTCGATTACAGGTACTTCGAATTTCAGTACTGAAATGAAGAATCAGGGACCGCTGAGTCATTGGTTATGTGAAAATTTGTCGGAGTCTGTCTTTCAGACGGGCTATCTGACGTATAATTATAGAAGCATGTTTCACGATGATATAAGACATTTAACACTTCGATTTCTCTCCCTTCCTTCGAGCTAAATTACTCATCCATCTATTTGTTCGACGTGTCGAGTTAATTATAGACACCTGTTCCGCAAATAAGCTGCTATTAGAGAAAGATAAGGAAGTCTCGTTGGATTTTCCTTGGCCGTGAAGGCTGTTTGAAGCGTGATACACGTTTTCGAATAATAGCAAATTACCATTATTTTCTGTCCATACTTCGCACATTTTCTTCCCTCGTTGAACTGTTCTACTTCTGTGTAAAATTCTTACGCACCTAACACGAAAAACGCGGACCTTATCGATTATTATACATGTATCAAATTGACGGTTAAAAATATATCCGGCGTTCCAGAGATAAGGATATAATTGCGCTCCTATTTTTGTGACACACTATCGGCCACGGCGATTAACATTTATTTTAAATCTCGAAATCGCTCTATTTTGACCCTTCATCTGAATATTCGATCTCACGAAATATCAAAAATACGTATCACGAACGAGTGTTTTTCTTTTTTCGAGTCTGAAGGTACTTTTTTTTTTTAGTTTTGTTAGAAATTTCTTTTCACCGAATTAATGTCCCATTGTTAATATGATTTTTACAGTAGACAGAGGAGGGTGTCAGATCAGAGGCTCGCCGAAATAGAGACGCTTCTGGGGCTGCAGAACGTCAGGGGCAGAGTTGTGACGGTCCCCGTTGCATTCGGCATGTTGGATCCAGATAAGATGTAAGTAATTACGTAAATAACGCTCCTTTATCGACGATGATTTATTGTTCTACTCTTATCAGCTTCGCCAAACATTATTAATACGATTTAAAATTGCAACTGCAAAACGTCTCGGATAAGCAATCATCTTTCCAATCTTGATACGAATTTTTCCCAAAAATATAACGAAATAAAATTTCGATAATTCTTCGGTTTCTTCCCTTATCTCGATTGAAGGGTTATTGATTACGTCACTGCGAATGGAATTATTCGTCGAATTCAAGAGGTCAATGGTTTACAAAAAGAACTCATTTTAATTCTCAAATGTTCTCGATAGTAATTATTTTGAAAATTTTTCTTCATTTTATTGCACAGAATTTTCCAAATTGAAGTAAAATATATGGTAGCATAAGATTTATGCAAATTATGTAAAAATTGTATTTAAAAAAAATAGTACTATTGACCAAGAGAAACCAAAAAATTTTTCCGTCATTGATATTAATTATCAGTAACCAAACAAATTTCAAACGATCGATATAGGTTATCAGAAACGAAAAAGATTTTCGTCATCGATAATGACTACTGGTAACCAAAAACAATTTTCGTCATCGATAATAGTTATCTGCAACCGAAAAATTTAAATCATTTAACTCGTCATTCGTAACCAAAACGTCTAAGATTTAACATTTTTCAATCACGTTAAATTCTGGAAGATCTCCTTTAACTCAAGCAACAAATCGACGATTTTTTAAATAATTACTCTTTTTGGTCCCTGAAATGAATCAATTCCCTTTCGATTAACGCAGAAGCTTACCATCAAGCATCGAGCCTGATCGTCCTAGCATAAATCTTCTACTGACCGTGGGAATTCGTGGAGATAACAAACGTTGCTCTATCAATCTCTCCAGATCAGACTCACGCGAACGATAACCTCTCTCAAGGAAGAACTAGAACTCTTCTTTACATAATTCCCACCGTTCGAAATCACCGCGAGAAAATCCTGTTTCGATCACTGTAGCGACATCTCAGCGACTCACGAAACTCTCCCTACGAGTGTGAAACGAAACGGAAGGATGAACTTCGCTAATTCTCGAAGAAGAAGCAAAACAGAAGCACCTCGCGTTGCATCATCGCGTATGTATCTATATACACGTGAACCGAAAATAACGATCTATTTAAAAAGAAGAGAAAAAGAAGAAGAAAGTAAGCAAAGAGAAAAATTGGAAGGAAGCTATTCCTGTGGTGCAACGAGTCTGATTCTAGGTTTCAGGAATCCTCTGCTCGGAAACACGTCACTTGCTAAACACCGTCTATTTCCAGAATCTCATCTGGTTGTGCCTTTTAATTCTTCTTCTGCTGTCGCGAATTTCCGCGCAAGGTAACTCGAAAGAAGAGAGAGAGAGAGAGAGAGAGAGGGGAAAGATGGAAGATAGAATTCGCGGGAAATGTGGCGCACGTCCGCGAGCAGGGACATTGAAATTCAACTTGTTGCTTCGTGTCCGCGTGACGAGACGGAAAACCACCCTCGAACGAGGGAGAGAAATATGGTTCGGGTAAGGAAGAGGAGAGCTAGAGGAGGGATGGTCACGTAAAACGAGAAAGAACGGCCTACTAATACCGGAAGATATGTCGCGGAACAGTTGGACAGGTTGCTTGAAATGTTATTAACTCCCGTGTCTGTCTCACTGCCGGGGGAAAATGATTCTCTCGTCCGCCGCGTGGAAATTGGTTCGTTCGAGGTAATGGAGAGATACGGTTTTTGGGTAATATTTTTTCGACGCCAACCGGGGGGCGTGAATTGAAGTTAATTTCGTGGAACGTGGTTTTTTATGCGAATGGGTTGGTTTCAGGGTTTGGGGACATTTTGGACAATTCGTATTCGTTTCTCCTCGCGAGAAGGCTTTTGGAGAATCGCGAGACTTGATAGTGGGAAATTTTAAAATTTAGTCGATTGTTGGGTTGAAAAAGAAAAATTGAATTGGACGAGAAATTAACGTTAGATCAGGTGTGATGATAAAAATTATCATGAATAAGAATATATACAGTACTGTGTTAAAAGATCTTAGAGAGCCTGAAAACAAACAGGGGGAGGTTGTACGTTTTCGTATAGAATTGCAACGATTAACGCAATCTACTGGATGGAAAAAGCTAAAATTCGACTTCAGTATAATTTTAGAAAGAAATGTTACAAAATTAGACAAAATTTCTCAGAATAGAACAGTCGATACGAATGTACCATACGAGATTTTTCTTGTCTTCGCTGTTCAAATGAAATAGTTGAAAATTGTTTGTTATCGTTCAAAGACTGGTATTTTGCAGAAATAGATTTTCAAAAATAAACGTATATCGCTGTACGTTTAAAAATAGGAAGATAACGGGAATGCAAGACGATTCACCTAAGGATCTCGAATTATTCCACGTTTGCCCCGTTCACATCGAACATTGTACTTTCCAAGTAGCACGTTTATTATGTAAAGAGTTGCAGTGTCAAATTTATGCTAAGTTACGTAGCTACACTATATTACAGTAGACTGTACCGGAAAACAGGCTTGCTTCAAAGGGAAACGGAATACAAAATTACAGAAGAAGAAACACTCTGCTAATGGAAGATGAGATAATAGATAACACGCGATAATTTGGACGAGTAATCTCGCGAAAGGGACCCGCGGGAGTTGCGATTTCTTCCTTCTTGCTCGAACTCAAAGGACCCAAAAGGGTTGTGATTGAGAAACAGGCCGTTAAACGTGACACAAATTCACAAAGAAGAATCAAGAATTTTATTAGAAAACAATGTAACATTCAAAATCTCACTGTTAATCAATAGTGAAGATACTTAAGTATGCAATTTTAGCTTAATTTCACTTAACTGTTACTTAAATCTAAATAAAAAGGACGATGAGTAACACCGGTAGTGTCCAAATTTCAAGTAAAGTAATTTGAGCCAAATTGAAAAATTTCGAAAGCTACACTTATGGTAGCAAAATGTAGCATTAAAGAGTAGAGACATCATGTTGTCGTTCCAAGAGTCTCGTCAAATCATTCATCTACCAATGCATCGTTGACTATTAAGCATACTCGTTCCATTCTATCTCTACTATCACCCACGTTCGATTTAATTTCTACTATCGTCTACATTTCATTCTATCCATGCTATCTTATAAAACATCGAATAGATATACGTAACGACGCAGACAGAATAAAATGTAATCGGGACGTTGGTCCACGTAGAAGAAAGACAGAAATGTCACGCAGGAGGATGGAAAGCTAATGGAGCCTCTAACCGGGTTACCTCTCCTTCGAATGCCCTTCGAATAAATTTCCATTCAACCTTTGGCAAGTGAAAATTTGCTTAAAACCGGATGAAACGAACAATTCCTCCTTTCTTATCCGTTTCGACATCTCAACGTTTCCACTCTCAACGAGTTTACTCTTTAGAAACATCCCTTTCTCGCCAAATTTCTCGCACTCGTACCAAACGTACCCAAATATTCTGTCTTTAAAAAGAAGCTGCTAGAATTCGATCTAAGGTACTTCTCGTCTGCTAACGAATCGTTCAAGTGAGAATTTGAAACGATAGAAGAGGAACTATTCTTCTTCGTCGAAGTTCGTTCACACACTGAAAGCTCGGCACAGTGGATCCACTGGTGGAAGTGGCGTTTTTATTTCCAGCCAGGGATATTCTTCAGCGTGATTGGAGAGAAATTCCCGATGCAAATTCGATTGGAGTGGCGCGTTGTTGTCACGGTCTAGCCGCGACCAATCGTCATTCCTGGATAATTCATCGTCGAAATTCGCGACGCGTTCGTGGAAAAGCACAAGTGGACAGAAGGACACGGATTAAATGGCTGACCAGCATTGGCAATTACGCGGGGAATGCGAATCGAGAGCCAGGAAGCGTGAACTGTCGAAGGAAGATACGGTTTTAATCCTCGTTGCTAGGAAATCCCAGACTCCGGCTATCGATTCCGGCTAAATTCCATGTAAAATCCTCGATTTTCGGTTCAACTTCGAGTCACGAATATTTTATCGAGCATTCGGGAATATGCACATAGAAATGAATGCTGAAGAATAGACTTCTTAATTTCAATTATATTTCTTGTGACACAGATTGTGAATAATTTATATCCTTTTAGCGACAGAAGATACATTTTAGCATAAACGTGAAAATTACGAAATCTTTCTACCGCAAATTTAGTAAAAATACAATAGGAAAAATAGTGAAAGAGATATTCGTAGAAATTTCCAGAAGAATTGCAATCGAAGGTGAAAACATTTCAAAAACCGTGAAATCGTGAATGAAACTTCGCTCGTTCACGAAAGCAATTACTTTCAAAATTTCCAAAAAGAACGGAATACGAAGGAAAAATACTAGTTTGATAAAGAATTCCGATAAAACACGAATTAAGAACGTCACAGTGCGCCTCTCTTTATAAATAGCGAAAGAAACGTTATTCGTGGTACAATCTTCCCTTTGGAGGATTCGCTGATAAGAGAATATTAATGATACAACACCGTTGCGCCAGTACAGTCACGGATTGCACAATTCCAACGATTTTCCGGTCGTCTGGTGTCTAGGCCGATAAGGCTCCTAGAGTAATTTGTACCAAGAGAGATTCCCGGCGATTGCATGCTCGACAGCAATTCTATTGGCACGTGTCACCCTTTCCTTACATTCGGCACGTGTGACACGCGTGATCGCGTGAAATTCCACGGCTGGCTGTTCCTGGTGTAAGAGGGAAAAGGATGAGAAAGGGTGAACGAGAGTGGCCACGGTTGGAAAATATCGCCCGATTTATTCTGTCCGCCACACGAACATATGGCACGAACATTGAACCGCGTGTAATCTTCCATTGAAGCCCAGGAATTTTTTTGCTTAATTTAGCGTGTCATCCGGCTATTTCTATCCGTGGCCATTAATCTGAGAGAAATATACGCTTAAAGTATATATGTGTCCATTTGAGAGTAGAACTGTCGCGAGTTGCTCTCGAGAGTGAAATTTATCGGTATTGAGAGTGACGGCGGAGAGATATTAGCAGCTCTTTTGCAATTCTAGGGATAATTTGATAGTGAACGGAGAGTATTCTCCAGAGAAATTATTATAAAAATCTGTCAGATGAATACGTACGCTAATTGATGGTTTTAAACGGTGGTTCCAATCGAGGTTCTTTTGATTTTTGTTGCAGAGGTCGCAGACGAAGATCCGCCACAAATAACAGATTGGAAACTCTGCAGCGTGTCATGAAAATTATGGCCAATAATCCTGATTTGTCCGACGAAGAGAAGATTCTCTCCTTACCAGGGGTAAGTTATCGATTATGCTCGATTTTTTTATTCCAAGCCGCGAAACTGCAATTTTTGCCAATCTAAACTACAAAAACAACGAATAATGTGATAAAGTTGCCTAAGTGTATAGTGTTGCGTTGCATAGTTGATAGACGGAATCAGTGTAAAGGTGATTTTACATTAATTATCAAACTGACTTTCTTTCTCTCCTGAAAAATCAAGTTTTCGAAATATTTGCTGGAAATTTCTGTTTTTCTTTTGCAACTGTGACAAAATGAAACTAACTGTACACAACGGCATACACACTACCGGCCAAAAGTTTGGAATCGCCGAGCATTGCAATTTACACAAAAATTTCCAGAAAAAAGTCGGCGACCATGTGAATTTTTTATCGTTCGAATCAATTGATAAATGTAGAACTGAGATAAACTTCAAATCTATAAAAAGTGGGAGGTGATTCCAAACTTTTGGCCGGTAGTGTGTGTATATAATAGCATATACCGACAAAATTTCAACAAATGATCTCACTCAGTCATACAATCTTCCTCAATATTTCACAAAACTGTGAATTCAATCGCATCTTAAACAAGATACACGCGTCATGATAATCCTTTTCCCACATTATTATGTAAGCAGTGTAACTCGAATTGCGATGTGTAATCGATCACGATCCTGCACTTGTGTAATACCGACGTTTTATCGTTAATCACGAGGCGCTAACGGATCGTTCCGAATTTTTCCATCGCTAGCTAATTTGCATATGCAATCAGCAGAGATAATTGGTCATGAAATAAAAGTGCCGTTGAATATTGGCACGCGCCTAGTCTCGGTTCGTGATCTCTGCTCTGGAATGGCCTTCTCGCGATGGAAGCCTCTTCTATGCCACGCAATATGCATACACAAGTATGCAATTAATCGTCTTTATCGCGGCGCTTCTTTCGATTTCAATTTACGCCCCGTCGATACGCTACGAGAAATTGAAATCTCCCGATGGAAACGAACATTTCATTCGTGATTACTGAAAGTTGTAGCGACAAAAAATGAATTGCATTGGAACTCGATTCATTTATCAACGAGATCCTAGATATAGATTAGTGTTTTTCACCTGTTCTTCTTCCGACTGAATACATTAAACGCCTAGAATTAATTGACTCTACTTAACTTTCTTCGTACCATAAAATACACGATGTTAAAAAAGTTCATGCAGTTTGACAACCTTCTTAATGATCGAACGATTGGAACATTTATTAAAACGACTTGTGAACTCTGTGCAATACAGTTCGAGTTCTTTGGAGCGATGCTCCCTCGATTTGAATTGTAAATGTCCCTCGGTGCACTTCTTCCAAGTTGATTCTTCAAAAGCTTCCAGTCGAGAGGAGAATTTTATGTTTGATTTCCAACGAAGAGAAAGATACAAATTTCACCCTTCGACGAACATAAACTTCCATCCAAATCATTCCCTACTCGGATCACTTTGAAAAAAAAGGAAAAGTAGAAACAGTACCATGTTATCAACCATAATATCGACAATTTCGCAGAATTTACCCGAGCTGAAACTCTCTCTCTAACCACGAATATTCCCTTTAAATTACAGAAGCTGAAGGAGAGCCGGCGAAGCGTCAACGACGAGTACCAATTCATTTAATTTCAATGCACGACGTCGCGCTGAAACACAGGGCGAACACGGAGACAGAGTCGAGAGAACGAAGAACCAAACAAAAAGTACAATAAAAGAAGAACAACAAGGGGAAGTGGAATCTACGAAAGGAAAACCAAGGATAAAAAAAGAAAAAAAAGAAGAAACGTACATACATACACGATCTCTCGACCCTAAAACGCCGCCTAAACAGTATTACGGACCGTCCTCCGTCCGAGCTTAAATTCTTTAAATAGAACTTACACTATTAGGATACTAAGTTGACTTAAACGCAGAACGGAAGAAAGAATGATCGTCCTTCAACGACCCACCGTCCTGAACGTTCGAGGGAATCGCGGCCATCATGGAACGTTCGTCCTTTTTCGGCGCGATTTTCCCCGATTTTTATTCGTTCCTCAACGTGCGTGCGTGTACCGTTCCACATAGTTCAAATGTTTCTGCTCTTTTTCTCTGAATCTGACTTTCTTTTTTTTTTTAGTGATTTAGTAATTTATTCAACTAGCTTTATTATTCATTATTTATTGATCGTAGTTAGACTGGTTATACCGTAACCTACGCGGAATGTAGTATTTAAAGTTGCATGTGAGAAAATTAGTTCTGTTTTATTTGCTTCAAATGAGATGCAACTTTTTTTTCTATTTTTGGTTGAGTATGTGTGATGAATGAAGAGAATCACTGGTCTGCCGATCGTCTCGCAGTATTCAGATGCGTCTCGACTGTATTTAGGCTTCGTTCGGTTCTTCTTTTCAAGGATTCGCAGTGGATCAACGATCGGAGTTCGAGTAAAATGGACGCAATTAGAAATAGTAGAAGAATTCGTTTAATTCAGAGTTCTTGAATGGTTAAAGGAATTTTAGTCGAATTAATACAATTAGAAAGTTGGAGAAATGATTACGGAAGTTGACGTTGAACCGCTGCGAGTTAAACGCGAACTAGGAAAATTAGAGTTAATTTCATTCACGATCGAATAATTCATTTCCATTTTCTTTTATCTGATACATTGTACATTCGTTTCTCTTTCATGCAGCGGTTTCTCCAAGCTTATGCGATATCTCCTCCTCTTCGGAGGAGAAGTGGGGGAAAAAAAAAGACACGAGGCTGTGACGCGAAACGCATTACTTTGCTTCCCGATTTTTCACGTATCAACGAAAGTATTCTCATTCTTTTTACTTTTCGCTCTTCGAACTTTAACGTCACCCGTTGCTTCCTCTCTTTTCCATAAAAGAAAAGAAAGAGAAACGTGAGAAATTCTCAACGACACCGAAGCAATTCAGGAACTGCTGCTGCCAAAGTTTCATTTCTCTTCTTCCTTAAGAGGCGAATTTCCATTGGAGACACGTATCTCGCGTTTTTATTCAATTTAAGACGTGATGCGTAGTTTATTTATTATTGTCCGTGTACAGATAGTTTATTGTCGTGTTAAGCGATTCGCGAAACCGAGGGAAATGAGAGAGAGAGAGAGAGAGAGATGGGAAAGAAACGACGACGATAAAGGTAGATAATTAATATTTAACGTTGCATCGTTAATTGTTAATTATTCGAAACGAAGAAAAATCAAGTCGTCCCGTTGTAATCCAAGCTATCTGTAATATTGTATAATTGTATTCGTCGACACGTTTTTATTTCTCGTTTCTATAAGTTATTTATTTATTTATTTATTGAAAACCGTATACGTAGAAGCCAGGCAAAGTATTAAAGACAAATGTCGTAATTAACGCGACATCGACGCGTAATATCGATAACGATGCATTCGAAATAATTTCGCTGATCCTTTTCCAATACGATTGTGCGTATTGTTTTATTTATTTGAACGCAATAAAAACAAAAAAATAATAATCAGCTATAAAAGAAACATCGTGTATTTTCACCATTATTTCCCACGTTACCCGTTCCTCCCGAATTTACATACTTCAAGGTGTAACCTTGTGTAACGAGTCACTCTTAAGATTAACCCCATAACGCCGAAAAACAAGTTACTCGTCGATCGCTGACTGTCCCTTCGAAGTCCTGTCCAGCAATTCGTCACCAGAACCAAGTCCACCTTCTCCCCCAAATCCCTTCCTTACAAGTATACCCGAAAAATCCCTTAGCGATCGTTATAGAAACCAAGCGAGTATAGTTAAGAGCTGTCGATCTAGTACACAGCAGAAAACCACAACGTCTCCTCCCTTCGTGAAGTTCGCGCGTTGTAAATTCGGAGTCCGAGGGTATAAGTGTCAATCGATATCTACTTTCCTCCCCGAATTCCAGCGGTAAGGAAAATTGGCACTGTTGGATCTAACAACACCCTATGGAAATAATCAAGTAAGGACAAAAATGTCTCCGGGTTATTTTAAACAAAGGCACTAAGACTTCCACCAGATGCATCTGGTGTCCGCCTTCGAGTCACTCACTGCACAATGCCATACCATAATGTAAACAGTTTCTAGGTATAAGGGGACCCCAACTTTCTTTTGGGTGCCCAGAAACAGTCCTTCAGAAGACGTTTCCTCTGAGACCGTAAATAAATCGTATATTACAAAGTTAAAAGACTATTTCATTCCATAACCCATTTCCAATAGGCACAGTAAGAGGAGATCGATGAAACCGACGATATGGTTGATCGAGAAATTTTCACAGTTCCCTCGTGTAACGAGGAATTAATTAAAAATACGCATCTGAGCTCCCTCTGGAGAAACCATAAGCGAATTATTCTCATGCTGTCGGTAAATGTAGAGTTTATTTCTCAAAATTTTCGAGCCACCCGATAGAGGAGAGACTCGAGTGTCGTATGAAACGAACGAGTTTCGACGTCCGTGCCGCAGGAAGCGGAAGCTTCGCGGATCATTCGATGGAGTATTTAGATGGTCCGGCTAATCACGAGTTGTACTACTGGCAGTGAACTGGCTAGTGGAATTAGTCGTGGTTATTCGAACCGGTTTCTATCGTAGCTATACAGTGTTTTGAAAGAGTACTCTGTAGATTTT